GGCACCCCCTCCTGCAGGGCCGGGCAGGGGACCCAGGCGTCCGGAGGGGGATACCCAGGGTGAGGGGCACTGGGGGGGCTCCAGCACCCACTGACACCCCCCCACCCCGCCCGAGCCCCGCCCATCCCGTGGCCCCGCCCACTCCACCGCACAGGCCCCGCCCCCTGACACTCACCTTTTGGACCCGACAATCCGTGTCCCCGTGTCCTCTTGTCCCCACGATGCTCCGTCCCCGCGGTGCCCTGTCCCCACAGCAGCCTGTCCCCACGATGCTCCGTCCCCAGTGTCCTCCTGTCCCCACGATGCTCCGTCCCCTGTGTACCCCATCACCGCCACGCTCCGTCCCCAGCGTACCCTCTCCCCACGATGCTCCCGTCCTCGTGGCACCCTGTCCCCGTGGCACCCTGTCCCCACCATGCCCCGTCCCCACTGCACCCTGCCCCAGTGCTTCCCCACCCCTACGGTGCCCCATCCCCGCAGCCCCCGGTCCCCCCACCCCGGGCTGCCCCGTCCGCCTCGATGCCCCAGCCCCGCAGCACCCTGCCCCTCCGACACCGCGGCCCCGTCGTTTCTCCGCCGGTGGGCGAAGGCTCCCGCTCCTCGCCGGTGCCCGCTGGCGGGGGGCGAGGCGGTGAACGCTGCTTCCCCAAACCTGCTGCTATTTTTACTCTCTCTGCGGGAGGATTCGCTGCTGCGCGGAGCTGCAGCCCCCGCCGCGCGGCACGGGGATGGGGACGGCATGGCACGGCATGGCACGGACACAAGCACTGGTGGTTCTGCCCCTGCCTGCCGCGGAGCAGCCTGGGTGCCCACGGTGCCAGGATAGGGTTGATGGCGAGGAGCGAGGCCACGCGTGGCACACGTGTGCCCGGAGCCGTGTGGCACGGAGGGGGCTCGGGCACTGTATCCCCTCCACAGCATGATGCTGGGTGCCGGGCCCTGTGCGTTACCCCCCTGCGCCGAGCTGCGGTGCCGCCCGCGGGTGCAGGTTGCGTGGGTGCGAGCGCGGGCGGTGTGTGCCGATCCCGGGGGGCTGCGGGTGCTGCCGCTGCTGCAGAGCAGGGAGGGGAGGGGGCCTGGCCACCCCCTCGCACGGCGCCTTCGCGGGAGAGAAGAACGGGAATGGCAGCGGGAAAGGAGCCTGGGAAACCAGTTGCCATAACGACTCGGGTCCCGCGCTGGGATGGGGACGGGGATGATGCTCAGAGCCTGGCAAGGGGACCCTGGCACGGGGCCAGCCGGGGCATGGGGTGACCAAGGGACACCTCACCTCGTCCCCCTGGCTCAGCCCCATCATCCCCTCCATGGGGACACTGGCTCCGCTGGTGCCCTGGTCCCTGGGTTGTCCCCATGCGGGGTGGGCACTGCCGTGTGGGGCTGTGCTGTGCCATGGGGCCAAGTTTGGCCACCCAGAGCCCGGCTTTGCCACGCTTTGCCTTGCAAGAGCCGAGCTTTGCCGCGCAGAGCTGGGCTTTGCCGTGCTTTGCCGCGCAGGGCCGGGCGGGTGGGAGGCTGGTCCATGGCACAGTGCCACTCGGGTAAATATTTTGCTGGAGCGACGGCTGCTGGCCCGCGGCCACCCGCAGCCGTTGGAGCACCAGGAGATCCGGGGGCCGGAGCCAGCTCCCGGCTCCCCCTTCCTCGTTTTTCCTCAGAGGCGGCTTCCTCAGCACCAACGCCACCGACACCTCCCCGTCCCCGTCCCCTGGCCAGGACACCCCATGAGGGGATGGGCACCACCGCTCTGGCTGCCGGTGACCCTGCTGTCCCCTTGCATGGGGACCCCCCGGCTGTGCTCCCCCAGCGGGAGCCGGGAGAGATGCCCTCGATGCCCAGGTCCCTCGTGGCAGGACCACGGCAGAGTCCGGCACATGCAGCGCCGAGCAGCGGTGCCCGGGCTGGAGGCTGGGGGAAGTGGGGGGGGAAGCCCCTGCTTTCCCTGGGGGAAAATTTGGGTTTGGTGGAATTTTCCACCGGGAAAACCGCTGAGAGCCAGGGCAGAGCCAGGGCAGCTGGGCACAGTCCCGGACACGGCACGGTCCCCTGCCTCTGGCACATCCCGGCATCCCGGGGGCTGCAGCTGGTGGCAGCGGGGAAGCCCTGGCACACAGGCGATGGGATGTGTCCCCACAGATGTTCCCCAGCCATATCCCCTGGGGGATCCCGTCCCTGCCTGAGCGGTGGCACAGAGCAGCTGAGGGGATTTTCCCGCTACCCACCCAAAGGTGAGAGTGGCCGTGCCCCTGCCCCACTGCGAGCCTGCGGCTCTGCAGGGAAACTGAGGCACAAGGGATGGGGACTCACGTGGAGGCACCTGTTCCCATCCCTGTCCCATCCTGTCCCGACTGGCCACCACTGTCAGGGGACACCCCCCTGGCAGGGAAGGGGTTAAGGGCCCCCCACGGGTTGGCTGAACCCCCTCAGGGGCTCCCCAAGGGCTCATTACCGCGGCCTCAGCCCCCCTGCCCGGGGGAATGAATAATTCAGCGCCTGGTAGGAGACGTGTCCTCCCTCCCTCTCCTTCCTCCTCCTCCTCCTCCTCCTCACCGGCTCTGCCTTCCCCACCTCCCGCCGCTCTCAGTCCTCGCCGTACCGAGCCCCGGGTGCTATCAAACTCTGCTCGGCACCAGCGGCGAATACCCCCCCTGCTCCGGCAGCAGTGGTGACGCGCGGTCGAGGCCATGGACCCCAAGGATCGCAAGAAGATCCAGTTCTCCGTGCCGGCACCCCCCAGCCAGCTGGACCCCCGCGCCGTCGAGATGGTGAGGATGGATATCGGGGTACGGGGTCACGCCGGGGGTCCCTCGTGGCCCCAAGGTCACCGGCAGCGCTGCCGGTGACCTCGGGGCGACGAGGGACCCCCGGTGTGACCGGGAGGGATGGGGTGGATGGAAGACCCCCGAGGTGCTGGTATGAGCTGGGTCCTGTGGGAGGAATGGGGACAGAGTGGGACGGGAGGGATGGGATGCAACCAGGAGAGCTGGATAAGGGGGATCGGAGGGGACAGGATGGGGGATGAAGGGGACAGAGGGGACAGGAGGGAGGGCATGGGACTGGGAGAGGAGGACAAGGGGGATCGGAGGGGATGGCATGGGACAGGAGGGACAGGACAGGATGGGGGGCACAGGATGGGATGGGGGAGAGACGGGGATGGGACAAGAGAGCTCCAAGGTTCCTGCATGAGCTGCGGTCCTGCAGAGGGAGAGTTGTGCAGGGGGACAGGGACAGAGATGGGACAGGAGAGAAGGGAAGGCATGGGATGGAGAGGACAGGATGAGGACAGGGGTGGGACAGGAAAGAAGGGATGGGACAGAGAGGGCAGGACACACTGGGGGACAGTGCAGCCACCCCCAGCCAGTTGTCCCTGGACGTCCCCAGCACACACCGGACCCAGAGCCCCCACAGAGGGGCTGGGCAGGAGTTGGGGACGTTGTGGGGCTGGGAGGGACCGGGGATGTTGTGGAGACCCTGGGATGGGGCTGTGGCCCCTCTGTGGGGCACTGTGTCTTTCACGGTGGTGGCTCAGTGGGGACCCCCACCCCAGGGACCCCCGCTCCGGCCACAGCTGGGTACCCCTGTCCCCTGCTCCCCACTGGCGGCTCCGGGCTGGGTGCTCACCCCCCGTGCCGGGTGAGTGCACGGCCCCGCACACTCCCTGCTCGCACCCACGCTCACACGCATACACATGCTCACACGCGTGCAGGCACGTGCATGGGGCCTCGGCCCTGGGGCGCAGGGCAGGGGACAGGGGACCCCGGGTGTCCCTGGCCGGTGACACCCCACTGTGTCCCAGATCCGCCGGCGGAGGCCCACGCCGGCCATGCTCTTCCAGCTCTCTGAACACTCTTCCCCAGGTAAGCGGGGCAGGGACCGGCACTGGCCGGGGCTGGGATACAGGGGAGGGACAGATGTGGTGGCAGGGGACGTGGTCCAGGGATGGGAGGTGGTGGCAGGGATGGGACATGGTGTCACTGATAAGATGGGGTGGCAGGGATGGGACACGGTGGCAGGGATGGGACACGGTGTCATGTATGGTACGGGATGCCCACGATGGGACTTGGTGGCAGGGATGGGACATGGTAGTGGGATGGGATGCAGTGTCATGTACGGTATGGGATGTTCACAGTGGCACTTGGTGGCAGGGATGGGACCTGGTGGCAGGGATGGGATGCAGTGTCACCTATGGTATGGGATATGTGGAATGGGACGTGGTGGCAGAGAGGGAACAGGGTGTCACATACGGGATGGGGTAGCAGGGATGGGGCATGGTGGTGGGACAAGACATGGTGGCAGCTCCCTGGCAGGCAGGGTAACCCCCTGGAGTGGGGGTCCAGGGGTGGGCAGGGACCTGCCCGGCTCCGTTGGGTGCCGGCAGCCCCCGTCCCGCTCACCCTTCTCTCCCCGGCACTGCCGACCCAGAGGACGAGTCCCTGCCCTACCAGGTGAGTGGGTGCCAGGACCCCCGGAGCAGCCCCACTCCCCCATCCCACGGCTCCCCCAGTGCCGGGGGGGTTATCGGGGCCCAGCCCAGGTGCCTGCCGCCCCGTCCCAGCCTGGCTCCGGCGCTTATCGGTTCCCTGCCCAGCACGGCGCTGGCGCCGTGGGGACGGGGACACGGAGCTAAGCCAGGCTGTGGGGTTTGGCCGCAGTGCAAACCGCCTCGTGACCATCACGGGGACACCACCCCAGGGTCCCCAACGCCGGATCCCCGTGGCGGGGTCCTTGTCCTCGGGGAGGGGTCAGCCTTGGGTCCCCATTGCGGGACCCCCATCGCAGCATCCTCATCCCGGGGTCCCCATCGTGAGACTCCCCCCCCCACCTCCCCATGGGGTGTCAGGGTCCCCCGGGGCTGCGGTGAGCCCCGGCATGGGGGGACACCGGGGACCCCGTCCCCAATGCCGTTCCATCCTACAGCGCACCTCCGGTGAGGGCTGCCTGCTTAAACCAAAGAGGACCAACCCGTGTGCCTACACGCCGCCCTCGCTCAAAGGTACTGGCTGGCGCCATCTGAATGGGGAAACTGAGGCACGGGGGCTGTGCGGGGTGGCTGGGGGCAACCGGGTAGGCTGGACCCCCACGTCTCTCCTGGTGCTGTGCGGTTCCGTGGGGAAACCCCAGTGTTCCCAGTGCCCGGAGTCAGGGTCCTGACACCGGCACCTTCCCAGCGGTGCAGCGCATTGTGCAGTCCCACCTGGAGAGTGGCCTGGCCGGGGGTGACAGCTCCGATGGGGAGGCTGATGACGGGGAGCACGAACTGGCCCATGCCTGCGACCCCGACAGTGCCCTCGAACCTGGTGAGGGGGACAGGGCTGCTGGAGCCGGGGGGGGGGAGCGTGGGGACATGGGGCCGGAGCTGCCGGAGCCCAGGGGATACAGGGACAGGGATGCTGGAGCCCAGGGGACACAGGGACAGGGATGCTGGAGCCCAGGGGACGCAGGGACAGGGATGCTGGATGGAGCCCAGGGGACAGGGCTGCTGGAGCCCAGGGGATGCGGGGACATGGGGACAGGGCTGCTGGAGCCCAGGGGTGCAGAGATGGGTGCCACCGTCCCTTGGGGACAGGGTAGGTGCCCCCAGGGGACACAGGCTGGCTGCTGGCAGTGCTGCCTGGACCCGCTGCCCGCTCACCCTGGGCTGAGCAGGGCCTGCGGGGGCCACCACATCCCCCCGCCGGGCAGCATCTCTGTCCCCCACCGGTGCCATGCTGATGCCAGCCGGACCCCCGGCCGCTCGGCTGACGTGGCCGTTGCCGGCTCCGGTGGTGCTCCGGTGCCACTCGTGCCTTCCTCTGCCCCCGGTTCATCGCCGCCCGCCTGAGAAGCCCCGGGAAGTCAGGTCAGAGCCGAGCGGAGCTTCTTCCCCGCCGGCCCCAAGGCGCACAAACGGAAAGGTAACGGGATGGGGACGGGGACGGCGGGGGGACATGGCTGCCCACCTGCCCGCTGCAGCCCCCTCGCCCAGGGATGCTGGGTGGGTGCTGGGGCTCGGGATCCCGTGTCCCCCCCCATGCCGCCCGGGGCCGGGGCACAGGCAGCGGGGTCACCCCGGAGCTGGGGGGTCCCCGGGGGCCACCGGCCTCGTTGCCCGCAGGCGGGCAGAAGGTGTCCTTCGCCGGCGGCATAGAGGAGCGTGGGCAGGACCTGAAGTCGCTGACGGTGTCGGAGATCCCCGAGGACCCCGAGGGACTGGAGGGTGACGAGGAGGAGCTGGGACGGGAGCAGGAGGACGGCGGCACTGGGGGTACGCCGGGCATCATCCTCCTGCGTTCCCCGGTGGTTCTGGTGCCGGTGGGACCCCACGCCTGACCCCGCCGTTTTTCCATCCCCAGAGCGGCGACACGTCGGCTTCGCGGAGGTTCCCTCGCGTCCCATCGGCACCGAGCGTCACTCGCCCACCTTCCCGCTGGGCACCAGTTAGCCGCCACCGGCCATCCCAGCTGC